CCCAGGCCCAGAGTTCAGGCCCCATGACCGGACCCAAAAAAAAAACAAGTAACCTCCAGAAAGTCCATTTAACCACCTAATATTCTCTTGGCTGATAGATCTTTTTATACTAACCATACAACACATGTATTTTTTAGCAGTTAGAGCCTGGGAAGGATACAACAATGGTATCTACTGCAGCAGGGTAAAGCTTAGCTCCAGGAGAAGTTAAGCCTGGACACATGATATTTGCTCCACTGAGTACAAACTTGATGGCTCCTTTGTCAACCTGCTGGTGTGGCAGGATAAAGGGATCTAAAAAAGAAGAAATAAATTATATAAATTATTAAAAATGAGACTCAAAGAAAAAAGGCAAAGAACATGAATGAATATTTTCCAAAATTATAGTACTCTCTGACTGATGCAAACTTAAACTAAAGCATTATATTTCACTGATTCTACTACTAAATATTTTTAAAGCAGGCTTGGAATATGGCTTAGTGGTAGAGCACTTGCCTAGCATGCATGAAGCCCTGGGTTTGATTCCTCAGTACCACATAAACAGAAAAAGCCAGAAGTGGTGCTGTGGCTCAAGTGGTAGAATGCTAGCCTTGAGCTGAAGGGCTGAGGGACAGAGCCCAGGCCCAGAGTTCAGGCTCCATGACCAACAAAAAAATAAAAAGAAAAAAGAAATGATGCTTCTGTGCTTAGGTATTTGTAAGATGTGCCATGATTAAGAGTAAAGTTTGCCTGATAGTTTCTGGCTTGGTTACTCATATCTCAAAAGTATAGGGGGCCAAAAGTGAGACTCACATATCTTCTGCAGACATCTTCATAACTCCAACACATAAAGCATGCTGTTTTCCTTCTGCCATGATTGCCTGAAAATACACAGCTAAGAAAATTATCTCTCAAAATAGCTTTAGGTATGGAAAGGATATAAAGATATAAAGGATAAAAAAAAACCTGACATTCTGATCCCCAAATGTCCTTTCCTAGACCACAAACTCAGATTCTTGAGAGGAAAGACTTAACAGTCTCTGAATATATTGTAAACAATGTAAACAATAAATGCTAAATAAATCATCTAACCATTTTGGTTTCAAATAAAATGTTAATACTACAACTCATATGAATAAAACCAGACTAATCATGCAAAAGAGTAGATATCTTACAAATAAATTCCAAAACCTATGAAATAAATATCCATTTCTCTAATTGTTTTGGTCCCCAAATAGTGTAAAAGACATAGTAAAATAATAATTGCATACCAGCTGGGTGTGGTGGTATACTCCCATAATCTTGGTACTTGGAAAGCTAAAGCAACAAGACTGAAAGATTGAGACCAGCTTCAACTACAGCAAATAAATACAAGGCCAATCTGAGCTACTGTGCAACTTTGTCTCATAAAAACAAAATAATAATAATAATCCAATTTTTTATTTTGAAGAGTCTCAGGTAAAATGAGTACAGTACTGGCTACCACCTGAAGCTTCTGGAACAGTACTAGCACACACATACACACAAAAAAGAACCCCACTGCAGTAAGTATTATAGGGCACCAGCCAAGCCATCAAGAGGCTATGAGTTCAACTCCAGTACCATCATAAAAGAAAAACATTACAGACTGGGAATATGGCTTAGTGGTAGAGTGCTTTCCTTTCATGCATGAAGCCCTGGGTTCAATTCCTCAATACCACATAAATAGAAAATGTCAGAAGTGGCACTGTGGCTCAAGTGGTAGAGTGCTAGCCTTGAGCAAAAGAAGCTCAGGGATGCCGGGCACTGGTGGTTCACTCCTGTAATCCTAGTTACTCAGGAGGCTGAGATCTGAGGATTGAGGTTCAAAGCCAGCCAGGGCAGGAAAATCCATGAAACTCTTATCTCCAATTAACCACCAGAAAACCGGAAGTGGTGCTGTGGCTCAAGTGGTAAGAGTGCTAGCCTTGAGCAAAAGAAACTTAGGGACAGTGCCCAGGCCCAGAGTTCAAGCCCGACGACCGACAAAAAAAAAACCCTCAGGGATAGTGTCCATGGCCCATGCCTTAAGATCAAACCCAAGGATTGGCAAAAAAAAGAAAGAAAAAAATTGGTTCCAGAGTACAGAAGACCTCTACTATCTTTTCAGCAATTGCTTATAAATCTATAACTATTTCAAAGTACAAATTACTTTATAAAGTAGCTAGGTGTAATAGTTCACACCTGTAGTTCTGCTACTCAGGAGACTGAGGCAGGAAGATCACTTGACCCATGAGTTTGAGACAAGCCATTAAAACACAGCAAGACTGCACTAAAAAAATAAACAGGAAGTGGCACTGTGGCTCAAAGTGGTAGAGCACTAGAGAAAAAGCTTAGGGACAGTGCCAGGCACTAAATTCAAGCCCCACATCTGACAAAAATAAAATAAATAAATGTAAAATATAGTTATTCAGAAAGTCTTCCATTTAAGGAGAAGTCTACTACTTAAAATCTACCAACACTTATAGAAACCATATCAGCTATGTCCTTTCCACTAGTAATCAAGAATCTATGAGGCTGGGAAGGTGGCTCAGTGGTAGAGTGTTTGCCTTGCATGCATGAGGCCCTCGGTTTGAATCCTCAGCAGCACATAAGCAGAAAAACCCGGAAGTAGGGCTGAGACTCAAGTGGTAGAGCACTAGTCTACAGCTGAAGAGCTGAGGGACAGCACCTAGGCCCAGATTTCAGGCCCAAGACTGACCAAAAAAAAAATCTAAGGACATTCTCCAAGTCTTATAGCAATATGTCCTAATTAGGCTGCAATACAAATGAGACTACTTTATAACTTGTTTTCACCTAACTTTTATGAAACTATCTAAGAGGCAACATAATTTATTATTAAGATTACAGAAACTGTTTCCCATTACTTCAGATGTAACCAGAAGGGCATGAGAAAACAGGTGCTGGTGGCTCACACCTGTAATCCTAGCTACTCAGGAGGCTGAGATCTGAAAATTGGGGTTCAAAGCCAGCCCAGGCAGGAAAATCTGTGAGACTCTTATCTCCAATAAACCACTAGAAAACCACAAGTGGCACTGGGGCTCAAGTGGTAGAGCTCTTGCATCAAGCTAAAGAGCTCAGGGGCAGTGCCCAGGCCCAGAGTTCAAGCCCTGAGACCAACAACAACAACAAAAACAGAAAGGTACGAGACACAAGTAACCTCCAGAGGGGCTGGGAAGGTGGCTCAGTGGTAGAGCGCATGCCTTGCATGCCAGAGGCCCTGGGCTTGATTCCTCTGCACCACATAAGCAAAAAAAAAAAGGCTCAAGTGGTAGAGCGCTAGCCTTGAGCTGAAGAGCTGAGGGACAGCACCCAGGCCCAGAGTTCAGGCCCCATGACCGGACCCAAAAAAAAAACAAGTAACCTCCAGAAAGTCCATTTAACCACCTAATATTCTCTTGGCTGATAGATCTTTTTATACTAACCATACAACACATGTATTTTTTAGCAGTTAGAGCCTGGGAAGGATACAACAATGGTATCTACTGCAGCAGGGTAAAGCTTAGCTCCAGGAGAAGTTAAGCCTGGACACATGATATTTGCTCCACTGAGTACAAACTTGATGGCTCCTTTGTCAACCTGCTGGTGTGGCAGGATAAAGGGATCTAAAAAAGAAGAAATAAATTATATAAATTATTAAAAATGAGACTCAAAGAAAAAAGGCAAAGAACATGAATGAATATTTTCCAAAATTATAGTACTCTCTGACTGATGCAAACTTAAACTAAAGCATTATATTTCACTGATTCTACTACTAAATATTTTTAAAGCAGGCTTGGAATATGGCTTAGTGGTAGAGCACTTGCCTAGCATGCATGAAGCCCTGGGTTTGATTCCTCAGTACCACATAAACAGAAAAAGCCAGAAGTGGTGCTGTGGCTCAAGTGGTAGAGTACTAGCCTTGAGCAAAAGAAACTCAAGGACAGTGCCCAGATTCTGAGTTCAAGCCCAGGACTGGCAAAAAAGAAATTCTGTTTTAGCAAGACTGTAGGGGTACTAGTATTTTCATTTATAGCTAGAGCCCACTGAAATGGGTATAAACTTTTTTAAGACTACCTAGCAACATGAATTGATAACCTAGTAAAAGTTTATATTCTGACTCACAGTAATTCTACTTCTAAGAGTTTTTTAATATATATTTTTATTGTAAAGATACTGTACAGAGGGGTTACAGTTACATGGGCGAGATAATGAGTACATTTCTTATCAAGCATTGTCACCCCCTCCTGTTTTTCCCCTACCATCCCTTCCCTCCCTAACTCCCCAACTCCTCCCTCCCACCCACCCAAGTTGTAAAGTTCATTTTCAATATAGTGTCTTATATGTTTCATTGTTACAATGGGTCAACCTGTATCCTTGTTTCAGCATTTTGTTATTTCCCTTTCCCCAATGTATATACAAGATGGAGGGCACAAGAATCAAATACAGTGAAAACAGGGGTTATACCATGGGGGAAGAACATACAAAAGAAACAAAAAAAATCACATAATTGATTTGTGTCCCTATCTTGGGGTTCATTTTGCTTAGCATCATCCTATATGGTCATATGTACATTGCTTTTGGCCTTTTCTGCTTGTCTGGTAAGATTATCCTCGACATATACTAGTTATTGCAAATAAGGGAAACCATGGGACCTATGTTTCTTTGGGTCTGGCTTACTTCACTTAATATAATTTTTTCCAAGACTTTCCATTTCCTAACAAATGGGGCGGTGTCATTCTTTCTAACAGAGGCATAGTACTTCTAAGACTTTATCCTAAAGAAAAATGAGAGATGTATAACATGTTAGGTCAAAAGATATCCATCAGGGCTGGGAATGTGGCTTAGTGTTAGAGTGCTTACCTAGCATGCATGAAGCCCTTGGTTCAATTCCTCAGTACACAGAAACAGAAAAAGCTGGAAGTGGCACTGTGGTTCAAGAGGTAGAGCGCTAGCCTTGAGCAAAAGAAACTCAAGGACAGTTCTCAGGCCCTGAGTTCAAGCACCAGGGCTGACAAAATAAAGGAAAAAAAGAAAGATATCCAGGGGCTAGGAAGGTAGCTTGCCTTGCATGCATGAGGCCCTGGGTGCAATTCCTCAGTACCACATAAGCAGAAAAAGCCGAAGTGGTGCTTTGGCTTAAGTGGTAGAGCACTAGCCTTGAGGTGAAGAGCTGAGGGACAGTGTTCAGGCCCAGAGTTCAGGTCCCACAACTGGCAAAAAAAAAGATATCCATCACAGCCCTACCATTTATAATAAACTGGAATTTAAATCAATGTCCTATAAATAAGGTAAGAGGTAAATGACTTAAAAAGTATCACATCTGTAATCCTAGCTACTCAGGTGGCTAAGATCTAAGGGTCATGGTTCAAAGCCAGCCTGTGTAGGAAAATCTATGAGACTTTTATCTCCAATCAAGCACCATAGCTCAAGTGGTAGAGAGCTAAAAAAAAATACCAAATATCTCAGGGGCAGTATCCCCCCCAGGCCCTGAGTTGAAGACCCAGGACTGGAACAGATATACCTACAAGATGTATGTATACAATAGTCATGCAACTCTTTAAAAAATCATGTTTTAGATGAGTACTCAATGCTCTGAGAAATGTCCATAATAGAATATTAAGTTAAAAAAATTAAGTAGAAGCCTGGTGCTGGTAGCTCATGCCTATAATCCTAGCTACTCAGGAGACTGAGATCTAAGTATCAAAGTTCGAAGCCAGCCCAGGCAAAAAAAGTCCCTGTGAGATTCTTATCTCTAATTAATCACTCAAAAACTGGAAATGACACTGAGGCTCGAAGTGGTAGAAAGCATGGGAGGGAGGGAATGAGAGGGAAAGCAGGAACAGCTAACCCTAAGCAAAAGGAAAAAACACTCTGAAGAAATAGTTGTATTGTCAAAGTTGTATTGACAAAGCTTATAGAATTCACAAACTTTATAGACCAAGATAATTATAATTTGCTTTGTGAAAGTTAAAATGTGTTTGTATCACTATCCTACAATACTGTTAAATTTATGTAATCACTTAATCTCAATAAAAAATTATTTTTAAAAAAGAAAAAAGAACTCAGGGACAGAATCCAGGCCTAGAGTTCAAGACCCATGACTGACAAAACAAAACAAAAAAAATTAAGTAGAAAAAGAAAAATATCAGAAAGACCAGTGATATAAGACTCACACCTGTAATCCCAGCTACTCATAAGGTAGAGGTTGGGAAGAATGCAATTTGAAGTGACCCTAGGAAATTAGTGACACCTCACAAGTACATGAAGTGGTACACAGTTGTAGAATAGTCTGAGACCCACCCAGGCAAAAGCAGGAGAGCCTACTTGAAAAATAATAAAAGGAAAAAGGGTCTGGAGGCATGGCTCAAGTATCTGCCTAGCAAGTCAAGGCCCTAATATCTAATGCTGAGGCCTAATTTTAAGCCCTGTCAAAAGAGACTGTGCCAAAAAAGACTAGAGGGAGAAGTAGGGGGAAAGGGAAAAGGATGAGTACTTAGAACACAGGGGATAGTTAAGACAATAAAATCACTCTGATACTGTGTAAGGATGTCAATGGCAATGCTATAAATATAAGAAACAGAGGATAGGAAGCTGTGTGCCAGTGGCTTACACCTCTAATCTTAGCTACTCAGGAGGTTGAGATCTGAGGATCCCAGTTCAAAACCAGCCCAGACAGGGTAGTCCCTGAGACTCTTATCTCCAATTTACTTTTTTAGTTGTGAGGCTTGAACTCTGGGCTTAGGCGCTATCCCACAGCACCACTTCCGGTTTTCTGAGTGGTTTATTGGAGATCAGAGTCTCTCCGACTTTCCTGCCAGGGCTGGCTTTGAACCATTATCCTCAGATCACAATCCTCTTGAGTAGTTAGGATTACAGGCGTGAGCCACTGGCGCCTAGCGATTTTTTTGTCTTATCTCCAATTCACCAGCAAAAAGCTGGAAGTGAAGCTGTAGCTCAAGTGGTAGAACACTAGCCTTGAACAAGAAAGCTCAAGGAAGGGCTGGGAAGATCGCTCAGTGGTAGATTGCCTTGCATGCCTAAGGCCCTGGGTTCGATCCCTCACCACCACATAAGCAAAAAGAAAAAAGCCGGAAGTGGCACTGTGGCTCAAGTGATAGAGCACTAGCCTTGAGCTGAAGAGCTGAGGGACAGTGCCCAGGCCCAGAGTTCAGGCACCACAACCGGACCCAAAAAAAAAAAAAGCTCAAGGACAATATCCAGACCCTGAGTACAAGCCTCAGGACCAGGAAAAAACCACAAATTTACCAAACTAATACAATTACTATACACAAGCTTTGACTGAACTAATATTTTACTACACATTATCTTTTTGTTTTCTATACCTTCATCCTCATTGATATTTTACTCCTTATAATTATAATGGTAAGGATGAAGATGAGGATGATGATGATGATTGATGATGTTAAGTAGAACTGAACATTTATTGAACAATTACTATATCATTATAAAGGCTATCATATATTGAACACTTACTATGTTCCAGGCATTGTGCTAGGTACAATACATGCACTATTTCATTTAATCCTCACAACCTCAGCAAGATGTACAGTTATAGTGTCCATTTCTAAAGATAAGGAAGCAAAACTTAAAGAGGTTAAATGATTTGCAAAAAAAGTGATATGCACTGAAAATTGAACCTACCTCTGCCTAAATCCAAAGTCATGTATTAAACATCCATATTATCTTGCTTTTTACCTAAGGTGTTCTACAAAGTAGGTCTCCAAAACATTACTAATTAAGACAACCTTTTCCTCAAATATGACAATGCTCAATTTACAGAAAAACTGGAAGAATAGTTCACTGTACACCTGAACAGTCTCTACTTAGAATCAATAATTGTTCATTTAAAATGTTTTGTGCAGCTAGTTGCTGGTGGCTCACACTTGTAATCCTAGCTACTCAGAAGGCAGAGATCTGAGGATCCCTAAGGATCTTAGACTCTAATCTACAATTATGCAGCAAAAAGCCAGAAGGGGAGCTGTGACTCAAGTGATAGAGTGCTAATCTTGGGCACAAAAGCTAAGGGATAGTACCCAGGTCCTGAGGTCAAGTACCAGTAACAAGCATGCACATGTACATGCACACACGCACACATGTGCACACACACACACACACCCCGCAGTTGTTACACCTAAAAATTTAACAATAATCTTACAATATAAGTTTATAGCAGCCAGGCACTGATGGATCATACCTGAAATCCCTTGCTACTCAGGAGGCTGAGATCTGAGGATCGAGGTAGGAAGCCAGCCCAGGCAGAAAAGTCCCCCTGTGAGACTCTGATCGCCAATGAATCACTCAAAAACTGGAAGTAAGAGCTGGGCGTCAGTGGCTCACGCCTGTAATCCTAGCCAGGAGGCTGAGATCTGAAAATCACGGTTCAAAGCCAGCCCAGGCAGGAAAGACCATGAGACTCTTATCTCCAATAAATCACTAGAAAACCTGAAATGGTGCTGTGGCTCATGCAGTAGAGCGCTAGCTTTGAGCTGAAGAGTGCAGGGACAGCGCCCAGGCCCTGAGTTCAAGCCCCAAAACCAACAAAAAGTTTATAGCCAAACGATATCCAAATTATCCCAATAGTTATGAGGAAGTTTTTTATATCTTTTTATGGGGGAGGGCTTGTATTTGTTTTTCAAACCAGAAACAAATCAAAGGTCATGGTAAATATTTGATAACTTTTATCTCTGCTATGTCAGTTGATCAGGAATTAATGTCAAAATGTCTGTTACCACAATATTTTCACTTAAGACTTGTATCATTGTATCAGTATTTAATTTCTGTTTTTAAGCCAATAGTCAATACTTTACCAAATAATTACAATTATTCCCATGTAAATATTTAAGTGCTTCACCTCTAGAAATTTGTCTACAGGTTACTGCTCCTGACCTCTGCACCACCAGGTAATTCAAAATTAATCTCTTGTTACCAAAAAGATAAGTCACCAGCACCAACAATAGAGGCTGCCAGTCACCACCTTTCCTTTCCTTCCACCTCTTGACTAGAATATTAGATGACAATGAAGAAACTCAAAACTTTCTGCTCACTGGGATCTTATCTGCCTTGGATATTCTCTTATACTCAAACTAACAACCTGCAAATGTGGGTATCAAATAAATATTACTTGGATTACACCTGACCATGGTATTCAACTAGTATAAATGAGACTCCTATATTTAGTTAGTTAATGCTTTCCCATATACAGAATTATAACTATTAGGCAAATCTAGATACAAATTTAAAAGAAGATAATGCTCCTAAGTCTTATCAGTTTGTGAAAATATATTTGTATAATTACCTAATTGTTATCTATTCTCCTAAATACATTCTTACCTTCATAAAGACAAGGCTTATGTCTATTTCAATCACTTTCTAAGTATATAGCTCAGTGCCTGGCACATACTAAGTTCAATAAATATTTGTCAAATGAATAAATGAATGAAAGAATGAATGGAAACACTTTTGTGCTTTCTAGAATGCATAATAAAAGGATTTATATTTTTCAGACTTACCACAAGATGAGCCTTGACCTTTTATATCCTTCATTAACTACTAATTAACAAATTAACTTTTAAAAGTTATTTTCAACTCTTTCTGTGACTTTCTATATCCCCAAACGCATATTTCTAACAAGACTTACATTTGTGAAGTAACCTTAGGGTTGGATAAAAAGGCCCTTCTCTTTGTCTAAAAAACAGTAATTCTCCATTTACTGTTAGGATTTCTATATGTTCATGGCTGTAAAACAAATGTTACAAAGTATCAAGTTAGAGATCATCTGTCAAAAATCAATGTAGTCAAACATCCTTGCAAATGTATAATATAAAATTGACACATATAAAGATACAGTAAACTTTTTTTTATTTCAGTAAAGAGCCTAGTCAAAAGAGAAGAGTGTTTATTGTTTTTCCTATCATACATCATGGAAGAAAAAGAGACAAAAAATAGTATCTGCTACAACCAATTTCATTATTTCAATTCCATTGCTAACCAATCTCTAAAGAATAAAGCAAATTCTGAATGAAAACATTGAGCTACTATTCCCATTATTTATTTATCTGTAGTTAATTTGCAAATAATCTAATTTAGAATGAATACAAGTAATCGCTTAATATTCAGCTATGCTAAGGTTTACATAGAGAAAAAGAAAGACTTACCATCGAACAATTTTGACAGGATCTTTCTTAGGCATGATTTGATTAAGCCATGGCTCAATACCTGGAAACTGCTCTATCAATTGGTTCTTAATACCCTTAATAACTGAGGTTTTCAGCTGGATACAGTTGGACACATTTTCTTTTTCATCAAATCTGTGGAGCGATTTTTTCAAGAAAAACAAATGCATTGCTAAGCAAAGTCTCAGAATTCCTCTAAGTATTATTGTAATTTATGGTCTATTCCAAAGCAAATATTTATATTTTAAAATAATTATAAACTAAATTATTTTAAATGCCATTTTTCTTTTATTCTGTCCAACACAGAGCCATACTTAATACAATATTAAACTGTCATGTAAAGAGTAACTAGTGAGGGAGAAAGAGAGACATATCTTGAACTATAAACTACATACATGCCTTTCCTGGAAAATCTTACTTTAAAAGAAGAAACGGAGAGGGATTGGAGGGTAGGGAAAGAGGAAAAAATGAGTGAAGGGGTAACAAGTTAGACAAGAAATGTAATCATTACCTTACTTATGTAACTGTAACCCCTCTGTACATCACCTTGACAATAAAAATTTTTTTAAAAAAGAAACACAGTTTCACTCCCACCAGTAAGACCTCTTTTTAAAAAGATAAACCCCAAGCATTAAAACACAAAAAACAACCGAAGCCTAACGCATTCAATCGGCCCCTACTAAACTAAGTAATCTTTTGAGCTTTTTAAAGAGATGGTGATGATTTCTAAGATCTTTAGCTAATTTTTCTCAAAATTTCACATGCAAGACCCACCTTCCTTTGCCCATGTTCCCGTTTGATTTTTGCGTCTACCAAATCTAGAAAGTAAACGCACTAGGTAGGATCCCAAGCAATGTTCCCTTCCTTTCACTGAGTAGCCAAGGGGCAATCACGTTATTTTCAACAGAAGGTTAATCAGACAACTAGGCAATAGGCTTGACAGGCCACTGGCTTCCTGTCACCCAGACTCCTTCGCTTCCATGACCCAGGAAGTCAAGCCTTCCCTTATTCAGTTCATAACTAATAAACACATGGCAGCGAGCGCAGGGCTCCCCTCTCAGCTAAAGAGGATATGCCCCTAAATCGCAGTGCAAAGATGTGATTGGTAGAACCCTGGTAATGGAGATAGAATTACAGGAGGGGGCAAAAGAAAGATGGGATAGCGAAAAAGAAAATGGGAGTGGAGGTACCAAAACCCCATTGAGCATTAGGAATGAAAAGCTTAAAGAAGTGTGGCAAGTCGCAAGTGAGAGAAAACCTTAGGGAATCAGGATGGCAGGGGAAGAGGGGAAGAGAGAAAAAGGATTTTAGCTCTCACCCTCTCCTCCATCCTCCATCCCCACCCCCCACCGCCTTTGTGATCAGTCGATGGAGGCCACAGCATGTCCTTACTTCTTGAACATGATCCAAGGTGAAGGGGGCGACGATGGGGAAGGGCCCGGAAAGGGAAAGAAATTGAATTAGCAAAGGTCCGGCAGAATCCCTTTACACGAGGAAGGCCGGCACTGACAGTCTGAGCAGGTGTCGTTATCCGGAAGGTGACCGAGCCATCCGCGCTTTACGGCTCTAAGTGAAATCTGACTACTTCCGCTGCTCTGAAATCCACGTCTACGCTTTTGCCGGCTCCTTTTCGGTAACCGATTTTTCTCCATTGGGGGCAGCCTAAAAGGCGGGACTTTGAGAAGAAAGAAGTGGTGGAGCAACTCTTTCAAGTTGCAGGAAGAGAAGAATGGAGGCGGGGAATAAATCAAAGCACTGTTTATGTCAATTGGGTCAGCTACGGGTTCCTAAAAGGGCCACGATCATCCTTCTGTACTTTGTTCCTTCTGTACGGCTGGCTTGGATTGTTTTTGTTCTTTTGGTTTGTGTGTGTGTGAGTGTGTGTGTGTGTTTGTGCTGATCGAGACTTTAACTTGAACCCAGGGCCCTGAGTTATTTGTGCTCAAACGTAGCCCTTTTACCACTTGAGCCACAGTCCCATTTCTGACTTTTTTAGTGGTTAATTGGAGATCAAAGTCTCATGGACTTTACTGCTACAGTTAGCTTCGAACTGCTTCCTCAAGCCTAAGCCACCCGAGTACCTAGCTTCGAACTGCTTCCTCAAGCCTAAGCCACCCGAGTACCTAGGATTACAGGCATAAACCAGCAGCAATGGTCTACACATGTGTTTTGTCTGTGGCAGCCAAATGGATTAGTACCTACCAAGCACCGTAAACTCACACTAACATAACACTTTCATGTTAAATTACTGGTAGGGTTGTCAGGAGTATCAAAATAAAACTACAACGTACCTAGTTAAATTTGAATTTAAAATAGACAGTGAATACTTTTTTCAGTATAAATGTACCTTATCATTATTTTAGGAATACCTACACTAAAAATATAAATAGTACTTGTTTATCTGAATCTGAGTGTACTGCTGTTTGGTTTTTTGTTTGTTTTCTTTCTGTTTTCTATCTTCTAACCCTATTCACTGGCAACACTCAAGTGCCCCATAAAATTGTTAAATAAGAGTCACTAGGTGTAGTCTCTGACTTCATCCCAATTCTTATAAGTTGGACTATAAATCAAGAGAAGTAATTCTTGAAGAAAAGAATGACCTCTAGGCAATCGATGCTAGTTGGAATCTGATGGAAGGGATAACAGCTAAAACATTTTACTTATTTATGGTTATTTTTGTTTGTTTGTAGGGGTTCTTTTTTTCTGATAACAATACTGAGACTTGAAATTAGGACCTAGATGCTATCCTTTAGCTTTATTCACTCAGGCATGGCACTCTATCACATGAGCCACAGCTCCACTTATGGCTTTTTTTTTTTGAAGAGGGTATTAGAGAGAACAGCCTCATGGACTTTTCTACACAGATTGCCTCTAAATTGTTTGATTCTCATATCTCAGCCTTCTGAGTAGCTAGGATTACAGACATGATCCACAAGTACCCAGCACAGGGCATTTCTATAGAATGTTTACAACAATTTTTTAATGTTTTTTCCTTCTATCAGAAGGGGACTGACAAGAAAAATGCTTCAAAGACATGATTTCTCATTTAAGGATGAGAGCCCTCAACTGCATCAGCAGGAACATAAGTGGGGGCATCATATACAGCCCTTCCTCTGAAAGAAGTCAAGAACAAACTAATACATACATTTCACCCTCTATCAATAGAAATTAAGAGGGTATCCATCTATCTAATCTTTTTGTTGTTGTTGTTCAGTCACGGGGCTTGAACTCTGGGCCTGGTGTTGTCAGCTCAATGCTAGCATTCTACCACTTGAGCCACAGTGCCACCTCAGTTACCTGGTGGTTAATTGGAGATAAGAGTCTCACGGACTTGCCTGCTGGGGCTGGCTTTGAACCTCAATCCTCATATTTCAGGTTCCTGAATAGCCAGGATTACAGGCAGAAACTATGGGTGCCTGGCTCTAGTAAGTTTTAGACTAACTTGGACTTCATCATGAGACCCTGTCTCAAACCAAACAAAATAAACAAACAAACCACAACCCCAGGTGCCAGAGGCTCACACCTGCAATCCCTATTACTCAGGAGGCTGAGATCTGAGGATTGCTGTTTCAAGCCTGGACAGGAACATCCATGAGACTCTTATCCTTAATTAGGGAAAAAACAAACAAACAAACAGAACTTGGCTGTTACTCAAATTGTATAGGAACACCTTTAAGTGAAAAAGATGCTGTGATTGGGCCCTGAGTTCAAGCCCCAGTACTGGCATGAAATGGAGGGGGGCGGGGGGGGGCAAAGAGCTCATGTAATCTAAGGGTTCAGAGTGGAGTAATTTCAACTTTTCCCAAACATCTTTACTTCTATAAGCAATAGTCAAATGAGTGCCCACAAACACTCACTCCTCCCTCTAGCCTCATCATCACTATACTTTGAGTGTACCAAGAACTGTTCTCATTAGAACATCTCATTCCAATATATTAGTCACAGTAAGAAGCCCCAGACTCCCAGGCCACGCCTCACTGGGTCCACTCTAAGTTCCATTTGGCTGTGTACATCCCCTATTCTGTCCCATCTGTCATGTTTCCCCAGCTGCTGAATCTTTTCACCATACTTTCAATAACACACACACACACACACACACACACACACACACACACACACACACACACACGGCTCTGTTTTGTGTGCTTTCTGCACCTTATTCTAAAGGAAATCTGAATCCATCCCAGAGCCACTGCTTTCTCTGTAGTCCTCAAATGGTAGCTGTTTATTCTCCCAGAGGAAGAAATAGCCCCTCCTTATTCCTTATGGACACAAACCATTCCACAGAGCCATATATGTTAATTCTATTTGGATATAAGATCTTTGGAAAACTGGATTAAATAGGGACAGGAGGGTAGAGTTCCCATAATGCATTTATAGATTTATAAGAGGAGAAAGATTCAAGCTAACAAGCTTGTGCTGTCTCATCACATGATGCCCTCTGTCATATAATTATTACCCTACATAGCAAGAAGTCTCTCACCAAATGCTGGAAACCTATTCTTGGACTTCTAGAACCACAAGGTAAGTAAACTTCTTTTCTTTTTTTGGGGGGGGTCTGGTCGTGGGGCCTGAACTCTGGGCCTGGGCACTGTCCCTCAGCTCTTCAGCTTAAGGCTAGCACTCTACCACTTGAGCCACAGCACCACTTCCAGCTTTTTT